GGGAAAGCAGATCTTTGATAATCTCCAAGTGTTAAACTGTTACTCCCAAATAGATTAGAAACAAAAGCATTCAGGGCCAGTAGCCTGCAAGAGATTTGAGGACCCATTTCTACTCTAATGAGACAGTGAAAGGTCTCCTCTGTAAAGCCTAGGCTGCAGGTGAGCACTGAGCACATCCTGGCACCTGGCAGCCCTCCTAGGACTTTCCAGCTATATTTTCTTCTAGTCCAATTTCTGGTGCTTCTTGACAACATCCCTGCACGTCTTCCCAACATCATGGGCTATTCATTTCGTAAATTTGGATTAGACTAATGCATTTAAATCCTATCAGGATTAACAGTTATGTGCCGTAAAGAGAGCACAAGAGAGGCTGAGATACCACCAGCTTTCACAGCTCCTGTGTTTGTAGCTAATTGAGGAGGTTAGATAGCCCCAAGGTACCCTAGCAGATGATCCATGGGAAGGCAGGAAGAAACCCACTAAGATTCTTGCCAGCCTGACCTCTACCAAATTCCTCCCAATCTGGAATCGGTCAGTCAGGCTAATCCGGGCCATCAGAGTAGCACAAGCCAGGGGGTATCCCAGAAAATAATTCCCTCTAGCATCACAAACTGCCCCTGGGGATTATGGCTAGCCTCCGTGCACTGCTCATGCTTCAGGGGTGGGCACGAAAGCAAAACTCTGGAGCGTATCTGGTCGTTCGTGGCTCGGGGGAAAGGTTAGAAAGGGCTGCCGTCGCAGTTAGTCAGGTTCTTCCCCGGCTGTCTCTTACCCATGGAAACAACTTCATTTAGCAGACCACAGATCATGGTGAGTTCTCCCGCTCCCCTTCTAACCTGTTGGGACACTTAACTTCAAGAATATTATTCTCCTTGTAATGTTGGCCTTTGCTGGATTCATCACCCAACTTTTGTCTTTTGTTACGTCCTTAGTAGGAAGGTTGAAAATCCTAGAACTTGCCTATACGCAGTGATCCATTACCCTCTCCACGCTGTCTTTACTAGGTGGAACACAGTTTTAGATTTGTTTTGTATGGGTTGCTTTTCAGACCTGCTCATTTTTGTGGTCTTCCTTTGAACTCTTCAGTGTTTTCATATGCTTTTTGAAGTGGTTTAGTCAGATATATGTGCTGTATGCTGTACTAGCAAGGGATTCAGCAAAGTGGTTATTTAGCAAAGGGAAGGTTCGTGTCTCTGCTTTTTGTGACATTTCTCTTTTTATACATTTTTTATTGCAGCATCACATTACTGCTTTTTTATAGAGTAATAGGCTGAAATGATAATCCACTATGACCTTTAAAATTTTGTGGATCACAGCTTTCTAAACAGAGGATTTTATCCTGTAGGTATAATCAGGAAATGTTTCCTTTTATTTCTGTATATGTTCCTTGCATATAATTATATTAAAATTCATTTGTTGTCATTTGACTTTTTAGCTGAGTAACTGAGGTTATTCTGCTCTGTTATCTGCTGCCACTCTAACTGCAGACTTTACGGTCATAGATTTAACAGTTGTCTAAATTATTGATAAAGCATGGATATTGAAAACTTGAGGAGTCCCCCAGGACCAATTCCTTTAACCAAGAGTTAATCCACCTTTTAAGAGCTATCAATAAGTTAATTTTTAATCTGTCTAATGTCTGCCTTTTAAATTTGAAAAAATTTAAAATTTTTATTAAAAACTTTTTAGATGTCCAATTTTTAGATGGACATTTTAAAGAGTTTTTTCAGACTTTATTATTCAGTCAGTATTCTTTTTCCCGCATGAACTCTGTTATATTTGCAGGTCAGTTTTTAACAAAACACAGTAATAATTCTTGACTGTAAAAAGTGCATATCCAGTGACCGTTTGCCACAGAATTATATAATTGGTACAATAAAGTAGAATGTCAAGCAATTATGGAATATTCTCTTGCAATTTCCAGTGAAACAGTTTAGAATTTTTCAGGTTCTTTCAGTTGCAAGGGAGCATCCTTATGAGAATCAGGGACAATTACTTCGTGACAGAGGATTTCATGTATCAGAATTGTTCAAGTTGTTCAGAACTGATCAAAATAACCATTAAGTCACCTATTCCATTTTGAATCCCTAGTAATTTATGATCTATTTGTATCAAATCCAGTTAACTGAGATATATTTTTATGTGCTATCTCCAGGAAATAACTTTTTAAAATAAAATCTTAGTCAAAATTTTCCTCTCTGTCATATAACGAGATCACATTTCTTTACCAAAAATATTCTATTACCATAGCTTTCAGCGAATATCTGCTAATATCGCATTTTGTTTTCATGGAACATGAGGAAAAACCGGAGGGATAGAACAGCAGTTCCTATTTTGTTTATGTGTTCAAAAATGCTTTTATTCACTGTTCATCTACTTCCGTAGATTAACCACACAGTCAGGGTACCACACAGCAAAGACATAATTAACTGCTTGTAATATCGAGGGGTGTTACTATGGAAATGAAGGATGGTTCAGGAATATTACTGCTTAGCACTATGTGTAGAAAGCAAAAATAGGTTTTTGTTCATGAAAATGGAGGAAAGTCATTCTGTGATCTTGGTCTCCTTCTTAGGGCTGTGCATTAGATGAGCTTTAATTCTCCTCCCCCTCTCCCTTCAACCCTGGAGAATGTCTGCTAAGGTGGAATATCTTTTAATGCCTCCCAGAGCTAATGTTTAAATTGTATATGTAGAGCTGGCAAGGAAGAAGGCAGATTTTAGTTCTGTTACCACCCTTTTCCACAAGCTGGTCATAGCTTTCAAAAAAAAAAACTTTTTTTTCCTGTATTTCAATTTTCCCATCAATAAAATGAAGATACATCCAGTCTTGTAAGCCTGTCCTGCAGCTTTGTTCAGAATATGAATGCAGAGCATTACTTCAGTAGAAAAATTGGAGTAGCTATAGCTATTACTGCTCCAGCATTATCACAGATACATTTTCTTGATGTTTCTTTTTCACATATACTGGCCTTTTTCAGGAAATAATATTGTCCACGGTGCCTTTAGTAATATGGTAATGTTCTTTAGTATTTTTCTTTCCGTAAGGTACTTTTCTGTGCACCTCAAGGTTCAGTGATTCAGAAAGCTTTAAGATACTGGTTAAATATTACAATATTACACCCTGTCATAATGTTATTTACTTTTTGAGGAATTTTGATTGTTTCTTCCTGACTATATGGAAAGAAAAACACCAACCTAGCAAATGCATTCAGAAGAATATTCTTCCTAGATATATGTGATTTCTGTCTGATGTCTTAGAGCAGATCATGAACAATTTGTCTAAGTGATCTGCAGCCAAACATCACTAAAAAGGTCCTGTAGTGCCTGCTGGAAGGCTCCTCTGTTCTCCTTCACGTTTGACGTGGAGCTGAGCGTGATGTATTGGTTCAACGTGAAGTCAATGATGTGGAGGGTTTCAAAAAGCAAAGCTTTATTACGCCCCAGTCTCAGGGTATCACTGTGTGTTATTAAATGGCAGCTCATACGCCACCGGTTATAACGCTGCCATCTGACCCCTTCTGCTGTTCTCGTACCGTCAGGGTTTGGAGCCTGTCAGTGCCCTCCGGCAGGCTTCCAGCCCAGGCCTGAAGCGCAGCCTCTTAACGAAAACTGCATCAAAACTCCGGAGAAGTATCAATCCTCCATAGGCAAGTGCTAATAGGAGAGGTGGTGGAGGAAGTTTTTGAACTTGCCAGTTCTGTTCCAGAGGGAAAAGAGG